GTCGAAAGCGTTCCACAGGGATGCTGGCCCAAGTTGACTCCAATGCCCACAGTTGCGGGAAAAACCCAGCAGTGTTGCAGTTCTTGATACAAACCGGTGCGCCTGGCACCTACTACCATACCCCGTTGAAGGCACTTAAGTTTGTTTTCTTGCCCATTTACCCTCGGAATGACACACATACACAATCCATGTCTCAAATCCTTCTTTAACCTGTCTCCTCCCCTTAATCTACACTGATTTAAGTGGATTTAACAAGTGACATCAATAAGGGATCATAGCGATCAACTGGATTCACCTGATCAGTCTATGTCATGAAAATAGCAGGTGTTCTTAATGTTTTGTACACTCAGTGTATATCACTCAGCCTTAAAACATGTAGTGACCATGGAGCCTCTATTAAATGACAATGAATGCAGTAAGAGTACCTAAATAACTGCATTAGTATTACTACAATGTAATGATATGGAATCATGACAATGGACCAGACGGGCTAGTAGTAGCTCCATCACAGAGAGAGAGAGAGTTCAGTCCTGTCTGTACCATTGACCTGCACTGTGACAGAGCATGGGGGGGGGGGGGGGGTTGGGTGCTGATGGAGCCGTTGTTGGATTACGGCTGAGGAGGAATGAGAGAAGTGTCAGGTAGTGTCAGACTAGACAATAATCCTATCTCCCTGTACTGGGGGCCTACCGTGGTCAGAACAGGGTCAGTGTGCTGCTGTGCTGTAATACATTTAACAGCTGGGGGATGACAAGTGCAGGGAATGTGTGCCAAAAGAGAAAAGGAATCAGTGGTCCACTGTTGGAACCTTTCTTCACAAATATTTTTGAGATGGTGGAATACCATGTGTAAACGTTTCAGGGAACTGGCCAAAACCGTATTTGTTTGGAATATCCACAATTTAGAAGATTTTTTTTTTTCATCATAATGTATTGGTATACATAATATCCCAAAAAGATGTATTAATCTTTTTCTATATAATCCAATCTTTTTCTTTTTTGATAATCTATTTTGGAACAGTGTACACAATTCAAAGTGATGATGACAGCAATAGCTCACTTATTGGGATCCAGCTAATACCAGTAATGCAGGTGAAGCAGGTATCTAGAGCAACGCCTGGTTCAAACTTGTGTCCTTTGTCCTGATCTTTTCCACATTCTGATTGGGCCCACATTTTTGGACAGGTGTAGACAATCAAAAGACTCATTGTGATCTGACTGTGATCAGATCATCCTAACCACCTCCGGAGGTAGTCAGATACACATTGTGTCTGGATGTCTTACAAGTGTAGACAGATCTGGACAGAGAAATCATTTAAATCATCATTCTTCCACCCTCTAAAATCATTGACAGGTGGCACCATTGAATGATTACATCAATATGTCAAATCAAATCAAATCAAATTTTATTGGTCACATGCGCCGAATACAACAGGTGCAGACATTACAGTGAAATGCTTACTTACAGCCCTTAACCAACAGTGCATTTATTTTAAACAAAAAGTAAGAATAAAACAACAACAAAAAAGTGTTGAGAAAAAAGAGCAGAAGTAAATAAAGTGACAGTAGGAGGCTATATATACAATAAAATAAAGTGACAGTAGGGGAGGCTATATATACAGGGGGGTACCGTTGCATAGTCAATGTGCGGGGGCACCGGCTAGTTGAGGTAGTTGAGGTAATATGTACATGTGGGTAGAGTTAAAGTGACTATGCATAAATACTTAACAGAGTAGCAGCAGCGTAAAAAGGATGGGGTGGGGGGGGCAGTGCAAATAGTCCGGGTAGCCATGATTAGCTGTTCAGGAGTCTTATGGCTTGGGGGTAGAAGCTGTTGAGAAGTCTTTTGGACCTAGACTTGGCACTCCGGTACCGCTTGCCGTGCGGTAGCAGAGAGAACAGTCTATGACTAGGGTGACTGGAGTCTTTGACAATTTTGAGGGCCTTCCTCTGACACCGCCTGGTATAGAGGTCCTGGATGGCAGGGAGCTTTGCCCCAGTGATGTACTGGGCCGTACGCACTACCCTCTGTAGTGCCTTGCGGTCAGAGGCCAAGCAGTTGCCATACCAGGCGGTGATGCAACCAGTCAGGATGCTCTCGATGGTGCAGCTGTAGAATTTTTTGAGGATCTGAGGACCCATGCCAAATCTTTTTAGTCTCCTGAGGGGGAATAGGCTTTGTCGTGCCCTCTTCACGACTGTCTTGGTGTGTTTGGACCATGATAGTTCGTTGGTGATGTGGACACCAAGGAACTTGAAGCTCTCAACCTGTTCCACTACAGCCCCGTCGATGAGAATGGGGGCGTGCTCAGTCCTCTTTTTTTTCCTGTAGTCCACAATCATCTCCTTTGTCTTGGTCACGTTGAGGGAGAGGTTGTTGTCCTGGAACCACACGGCCAGATCTCTGACCTCCTCCCTATAGGCTGTCTCATCGTTGTCGGTGATCAGGCCTACCACTGTTGTGTCGTCGGCAAACTTAATGATGGTGTTGGAGTCGTGCCTGGCCATGCAGTCATGGGTGAACAGAGAGTACAGGAGGGGACTGAGCACGCACCCCTGAGGGGCCCCCGTGTTGAGGATCAGTGTGGCAGATGTGTTGTTACCTACCCTTACCACCTGGGGGCGGCCCGTCAGGAAGTCCAGGATCCAGTTGCAGAGGGAGGTGTTTAGTCCCAGGATCCTTAGCTTAGTGATGAGCTTTGAGGGCACTATGGTGTTGAATGCTGAGCTGTAGTCAATGAATAGCATTCTCACGTAGGTGTTCCTCTTGTCCAGGTGGGAAAGGGCAGTGTGGAGTGCGATAGAGATTGCATCATCTGTGGATCTGTTGGGGCGGTATGCAAATTGGAGTGGGTCTAGGGTTTCTGGGATTATGCTGTTGATGTGAGCCATGACCAGTCTTTCAAAGCACTTCATGGCTACAGACGTCAGTGCTACGGGTCGGTAGTCATTTAGGCAGGTTATCTTAGAGTTCTTGGGCACGGGGACTATGGTGGTCTGCTTGAAACATGTTGGTATTACAGACTCAGTCAGGGACATGTTGAAAATGTCAGTGAAGACACTTGCCAGTTGGTCAGCACATGCTCGGAGTACACGTCCTGGTAATCCGTCTGGCCCTGCGGCCTTGTGAATGTTGACCTGCTTAAAAGTCTTACTCACATCGGCTACGGAGAGCGTGATCACATAGTCGTCCGGAACAGCTGGTGCTCTCATGCATGCTTCAGTGTTGCTTGCCTCGAAGCGAGCATAGAAGTGGTTTAGCTCGTCTGGTAGGCTTGTGTCACTGGGCAGCTCGCGGCTGTGCTTCCCTTTGTAGTCTGTAATAGTTTTCAAGCCCTGCCACATCCGACGAGCGTCAGAGCCAGTGTAGTATGATTCAATCTTAGACCTGTATTGACTCTTTGCCTGTTTGATGGTTCGTCGGAGGTCATAGCGGGATTTCTTATAAGCGTCCGGGTTAGAGTCCCGTTCCTTGAAAGCGGCAGCTCTACCCTTTAGCTCAGTGCGGATGTTTCCTGTAATCCATGGCTTCTGGTTGGGGTATGTACGTACGGTCACTGTGGGGACGACATCATCGATGCACTTATTGATGAAGCCAGTGACTGATGTGGTGTACTCCTCAATGCTGTCTGAAGAATCCCGGAACATGTTCCAGTCTGTGCTAGCAAAACAGTCCTGTAGCTTAGCATCTGCGTCATCTGACCACTTTTTTATTAGCCGAATCACTGTGTCTTACAATAAATAAATAAATATTATTTTGAAAGAATAGCTGTGAAAAAAATTGCATAAAAGAAGGGACCAGGAAATGTGGTCACAATGCAGACACAGTAGACAGATAACAGACACATTTGAATACCATGCGTAGACACATTTCTGGAAATGTGCGCACAATCAGAATGCAGACAAGATCAGAATAAAGGACCCATGTTAACACCAGGTATAAACGGGGCTTAGGTGTCTGATGACTGGATTTGGATGTTCTAGCTCCTCACAGGGTTTTCACACATCAGGGTTGTCCAAAAGTGCTGCTTCAGCACCCTTGCCAACACACTGGCATCGGATGGCTCCTCATACTCACCCTCCAGCCACCCTAACCCTCCTACCTCATCACCCCCTCCCCTCTCACCAGCTGTAAGCCCTGTACCTGACCTACTGACCAGTTCCAGGTAAGAGTCCCCTCTCTCTTTCCACTCCCTCTCTCCCCTCCCTTTCTCTAGTCTAATTCTATCCCTTGGTTTTCTGGTCTGTTCTAATTCCCCCTGCCTGCCTCTCACTTTCACTCTAGCTCACTTTACCTGACTTTCACAGATTAACCATGCAAACCCACTTCTAAGAGAAAGGCCTATGTGAGGCTATGTGAGACTGGAAAATCTTTAATTAACATACTTCAATAATAGGGAAGCGTTCTGGTTCAGGAACTAGAATACTATTGTCACCAATATGCAATTCATAGCTTTTAAAAGTGAGACTTTGTTGTGAGGAACAACAAATACCTGGATGCAAAGAGTCTGGTCTGAGTGCTTTCTCTGTTTACACCAAACAGTATAAGAAGGAAATCCTGGTCCCACAATGACAGAGATAAGGGTGGCGTCTGGAAAACAGATGAGTAAGGGAAAAAAGAATAGTAAAATGCATTTAATGACAACTGAGCAAAACCAACGGACATAGTGCATGGTGTTCCATCATAAGCAATAACATTTCATGTTATCACTTCACTTTGATAACACGTTGTCACGAAGAGGGAACAGTGAAAATCCTCTTTTAACAAATCTTGTTCATACTTTGACTATGTATAAATGATACCTTGTGTGTAATATGTAAATATGTATGTTGTATGCCCAACACAATAGAAGTGAGAAGAGAATGAAACCATCAACAAAGGTTTAGTACTTGTCAGGATTAGACATCCAGGCCCCGCCCCTTTCTAATGACACAAGGCTTCAGCTAAATAAACCTGCAGCTATAACTGTGGCCCTTGTCTCAGTGTCCTCACTCTGTCACTATTTCTCTACATTTAGCTTCCAAACCAGAATACTAGAATACTATTACTGCCTTGACAACTATATTTCTCATTGAATCTCCTTGAGACTTTCTTCCTTGATATGGATCTAAAGGATTTTTGCCTGAGTGAAAACATCCACTTCCTCAGCCAGCACAACCAGTAAGAATTCTTCAGATTTATGGGTTTTCTTGCCATTCATATTTGGTATAAAAGTAATGAACAATTAATGTGATCATAGATATGTTGTATTGGTCATGCATCTGATTGGCATCAATTGTGTGCAGTTCATTTGTGTTTATTTTAATTAAAGCATTAGATAAGCCTTAATTCATTTTCTATTTTAAAAGTTATTATTAATTGTCTGTAGAATAAGTGCAGAAGTTGATTTCCTCCATGGGGAACATGAATAGAGGTGGTGGCCCTTTAGGTGGTCCTCCCATTAGGCAGACTATATTGTGGTCTGCATGCCACACTGTTATTGTAGCAGCTCTTAGGATAAATAATTAGGCATGATTTAGACTATATTTTTGTCATGATCATTTCAATTGTGCCTTCAGCCTGTTGGACTCCTCAAACACCGACGACGCTCCTTCACCAGATTATACATGTATCAAGACGGATCCCCCCAGCCCTACCTTCGCCGTGGACAGCACCACACCATTCAGTCCCAGCTCGGATAGCAGTGGATACAGTTTATTCTCACAGGGTCACTCGATGGACCCGGAATCCCCGAGTTCGAGCAGCAGCGGCAGCGTTGTCGGCGCAGCACCGGACTCTAGCGGCGCATCTCAGTTTTGCTCGGAGAGCAGTTTGGCGCTCTCGGCGCACGTTGACTCCATCCTCAAATGTGACTACCTATCGTCGCTGGGCTCTGGACCTAAAAGGCTGTGCCTAGTTTGTGGCGATTTTGCATCAGGATATCACTACGGAGTAGCGTCGTGTGAGGCATGCAAGGCTTTCTTCAAGAGAACAATTCAAGGTAAACAAAAGTGTATACGTTTTTGCAAACACCTGATATAACATCAAATCAAGCCGTCTGTGATGGTGTGTGTTGCCTGCACTGTGTGCGAGCGTGCACGCGTGATACATTTAGGACATGACAAAGTTCTGGGCTAGATCTTAATTAATAAAATAATCAATAATATATTAGAGGGGGAAGAGCAAATGAGGCTGATTGCAGCATACACATATTTCCAATAGCTTTGTCAGCCGCAGACTCAGCTATGGGATTGATTTTCGTGTGAAGACTCAATGTGCTTCATATTGGTTGATGGCCCCAGAAATTATTTATTGTCCCCCATGATGAAATCTGTGGATCTGTCTTCGTACGTTCGTACGTTCCTTTGAGGCGATTTTGACGAAACTTTGGTGAATCATGCGTCTTGCAATAGAGATCCGGCATTTACAAAATTACACTGATTGGCCGTGAGGGCTATAGCCTAGTAATTAAAATAACTGACGTATGATATTGATCCAGTGACGCCTGATGCATTAAGGACTGATTTTCAACAATATTTTAATATGTGCCTAATTTCAAGTATGCTTGAAGTTGAATGAAAATAACTATATCTACTTATTTTATTCTCATTTATCAAAAGTGACTTTTCATAATGCATTCTTTTAGCAACAGTGCCCATCTCCAAGTATGAAAATGCAGCTAAATGTGGTATTGCGCCTGTAACACCACACAACACATTTACATTTCTTGTGAATGGCACTCTGAAGAGGTGCCAATCTCCTGTTAAAAGTTCGGAGCTGTGATTTGGATGCCCTAATCTCAGAGCCTCTTGTCCAGGGTCCAGGGGACAGGGGAGGGGCAAGCTCATTGATCGACGGGCCCTTGGCCCCTAGATCACCCCCAGATCCAGACCCGCTTGTCTGGGTATAGATGGGTGGGAGAAATTAGTCAATACTCTATTAAATTGCTTTTTGTCTTGTGTGAGTACAAACTTTGTAACACTTGTGGTGGGAGTTAGGCTCAGTGTGGAAAAGCCAATCAATATCTGTATTTTGTCTGGGCTTCTATTGATTGCTGTGTGAAAGCTCAGGGTGCCAGCGAACACAGAGGCAATTGACTTATGTCATGGTGCCACAGACAGTGAAACTCAGTAAACCACCAGATGGCAAGGGTTAGCCATGGTGGCACACCCCCTAAACATACACTTTGATTTACAACATGCCAATTTGACCTTTAGGCTGACTGAAAAGATAAGCATAAAAAATGCACTGTGAGAAAGATACTGTATCACCATTTGGATTACATTATTGAGACATTGGCTTTGCTGACTGGTAACCACAAGTATAGAGGGCGGGGTGTAAACAGAGCTGTACTTTCTGTGTTTCCAGGTAACATTGAGTACAGCTGCCCTGTGATGAATGATTGTGAGATCACCAAGCGTCGTAGGAAGTCTTGCCAAGCGTGCCGCTTCCAGAAGTGCCTGCGTGCCGGCATGATGAAGGAAGGTGAGACTTGATGACCAACTCATCAACTCATCTCAATGGAATCACTGGGCTCAATAAACTGAAATGCTTAAGCGTACAGGCCCACAGAACACATACAGCCTGACTTAGAGTTGTATTTATTAAGGATCCCCTTGGCAGCAGCTACTCTTCCTGGGGTCCAGCAACATTAAGGCAGTTATATACAATTTAAAAATATTACATGACATTACATTTCATAACACCTTTCACAACACATTAAGTGCTACTACTCTACTACCACATATCTACAACACAAAATCCATGTGTACATGTGTAGAGAGCGTGTCTTATCATGTGTATGTGTAAGCGTGTGTCTGTGCCTGTGTGTGTGTCTCTTCACAGTCCCCGCTGTTCCATAAGGTGTATTTTTATCTGTTTTTTAAATCTGATTTTACTGCTTGCATCAGTTACCTGATGTGGAATAGAGTTCCATGTAGCCATGGCTCTATGTAGTACTGTACACCTCCCATAATCTGTTATTGACTTGGGGATTGAGGATCAGTCAATGAGGAAACATGATGATCACTGATTATCATGTTTGTGTCACTACAGGTGTTCGCATGGACCGAGTCAGAGGAGGACGTCAGAAATACAAGAGAAGGGGGGACTCTGGCCTATCTCTATATATGAAGGCCCCATACACACACCCCTTCAAGTCCAACGGTGAGTACCCTCTGTCATGCAGCACTCACACACTCCAATAAGAGCCTTGTCAGTTACAAATGGGGAGTACACTAGAGTATATTACTAATATATCTGTTTGACCTCTTTCAGGAAACAAAGTGATCTCCCAGCTCCTCTTGACAGAGCCAGCCCCCCTGTGTGCCACGCCTGACAACTCAACCAATGATGACAACCTTAAAGCTCTGCTGACACTGTGTGACCTCCTAAACAGGGAACTCCTGGTCATGATTGGCTGGGCAAAGCATATCCCAGGTACCCACTCCTGTTGCTCTTGTATGTCATGTTAAATAAGCATGACTCCCTGCTTAAATAAAGGTTAAATAAAAATACTATGCCATGCCATTTTACACTGGCACAAATGGACAAAGTTTTATTTTTATATTGTGAGAACTTATGGAGTATTACGTTTCCATACTTGCCCTTCCAGGCTTCTCTGCCCTTTCATTGGTGGACCAGATGGCCCTGCTGCAGAGTGGTTGGATGGAGACGCTGGTGCTGTCAGTGGTGTCTCAGTCTCTGGGCTATGGGGAGGAGCTAGTGTTTGCTGGGAACCTGCGTCTGGACCAGGCCCAGTGCAAAGCGGCCGGCCTCTATGACCTCTACACTGCCCTGAGACAGCTGACCACCAAGTACCAGCAGATGAACCTGAGCCAAGAGGAGGTGGTCACTCTCAAGGCTATGGCCCTCGCCAACTCAGGTACTAAATACATGGCATGCACTGGATATCTGTTATCAGTAGTTCGGTGATGTCAGCTGTGACAAAGCAAACTCAAGAGACCTAGCTGTACCTTTGTACAAACCCTATTAGAAAGCATTATAAGAATTGCAGAACTACCAAAAATATGTACTACTATCTAACCTGCCTGGCTACTGCTTACAATAATTAATTGTGTTAAATTGAGCTTTACAATACACTGACTTGGCACAAAATCTACTGCACCGTTCTCAGGCAGCCCTACATACAGCCACTCCTTCAGGACTGTGGAGAGAGTTAGGGCTCTATTCAACCCGTATCGTGGAAGTTCAGCGTTACAGCATGATTGAAATGTAAAGGCAATGTTCCCGCATTAGCAGACTGTATTCACGTAAACGCTGCATATGTCGGCTCAATCAAAAATGACCTTTACATTTTATCGTGCAATCTGTAACGCTTCAGCGATACAAATTGAATAGAGCCCCTAAGTGTGATCCACAGTGCCTCAGGGTGTGTCCTTGAACACACTTTTTCTCCAGGGTCAGGTCCCCTAGCAAGGCAAGGCTGTTAAATGATGGTCAATGACTTGAAAAGCTACTAGCTGTCAGGGAATGAATGCGTGGCTAGAGCCCCCATATTGGCAAACGTTCCTCACACGTCTCGTATTTTAGTAATTACATTCTCAAAGCATTACCTGAGTCAGTATCAGCCCTCCACTTAAATTACAATTTTAAACTACCATTAATAATTTGATATAATGACTAACATGTTGTATTTTGTTTGTTATTGGAGTCATAAATAAAGGGGTCATTCTGTGAACGGTAGCACCCATGTTATACCACATACTTGTGTGCAAAACAAAAAAATCTACGCATTTTAGTTGATGAATCATTATTCAATCACCTCTGTACAACTGTCACTCTTCAGACCACCATGACAGAGAGGCGAGGTCTAGACCTCTGCCAAATCTGTTTCTCCAACACTCACTTCTCTTACCACCCCCCCCCCCCCCCCACCCCCTCCCTCCCTCACGGCTCCCGCTGTTGTCCCCAGACCACAGCAAGTGGAAACTGATCAATATCCTAGCAGTGAGAAGGCAGCTTCTGCCCTCAGCCCTGATCAATAAATCCATCTGCCTCCCAGCACCCTGCAAATTATCACAGGAATTCAGAAATCCATTAGGCGAGTCTGGCTGCGTTAGCCTGACACTCCGGGGCAGTCACACCGCCTGAGGTGGCTAGAAGGATCAGAGGAGGGAGCCCTTGTTTTTACATTTACAGTCCTTTCAGGAAAAATGAAGGTCGGCTGCATGCAACTTAACGTTGGCCCGTCCATTAGCCCTCAATGGAGAAACAAATGAGGTGGACAATGGAATCTGACACGCTGTCGTGCCGAAACAAGGGGAGGTTTAACACCCGATTCCACCCACACCCAAACACCCACAGGCCTCCCTTGACCTTGTCTCTCCCCGCACAGATGCAGAGAACCTGGAGAGTGCAGAAGCAGTGCAGCAGTTCCAGGACGGACTCCATGAGGCCCTGCAGGAGTATGAGAGCTCCCAGCATCCAGCGGAGCTCCACCGGGCAGGCAAGCTGCTCATGACCCTTCCCCTGCTCCGGCAGACTGCCAACCGCGCCGTGGACACCTTCTGCCGGCTCCACCTGGAGGGCCGCGTGCCCATGCACAAACTCTTCCTGGAGATGCTGGATGCTAAAATATGACTGTTCTACACCTAACCTCCCATTGGCCCACACAAACCGTAACCAGGTGCCCCATTGCTGTGGGGTCAAAAGTTCAGTGCTTGGTGGTTCAGTTTTATGACAAGTCAAGGTGTCATGGAACAAGACTGACTTATGAGAATTGCGTACAGTAGAACAACGTATACAAGTGATAGATCTTGTTTCTTATTAGCGTAAAAGACAACGGCTCTATTCAATCCCTATCACGGAAGTTCAACTATACAGTGTGATTGAAATTTAAAGACAATGTTCCCGCGTTAGCGGAGACTGCATTCATGGTAAACCCCTTCCTGTCAGCTCAATCGGAAATTACCTTTACATTGCTATTGTGCAATCTGTAATGCAATCTAGTAGATTCATTTATTTTGGTACTTTTTCCAGAGGAGAGTATGTACATTGTTTTTTTTATATCATAGGGATTTTCAAGCCATGATATTCAGTCAATATGAAAGGATGTTACTCATGTGAAAACATAATAGCACTATGGTTATTGATCATGCATTCTGGTAACTAGATATCACATAGCCAAAGGCCTCTGCAACTGTTAGCCAGGCTGAACCAAACTATTAGTACTGCTATCATTACAAACAGCACATTCTTTTGACTTACCTGCCTTATCATACTGTACTAATAAGGTGATTTGCCATGACATTTGTATTTTATTTATGTATTTATTTATTACATGATCGCTGTACAAAGACATGAACTGCTTTCATACTAGTTTGTATGTGTTTGAATAAAATGCTTTTGGAATTACATGTGTTTGGTGTCACAGACGTTGGAGAGTGAACATTGCGTTTCATGTTGAACCACAAAGTAGGCTCACTGTAATTAGTTTTATTCGATCTATGAAGAACAGATTAGAAAAGTACAGTCGAGGGTACTGTATATGAAATGCACTCGCAGCATCCTCGGGTAACATTCTGCTACTGACAAAGCAATCCCACTGTTGACAAAATTATTATTATTATTGTTAGTTAATGGACAGACAGATGTACTTTCTACAGACAGACACAAAACATTCAATGTTATATTTCCATTTAAGATGATTAAAAAATATATATAGATAGTCAGAAAATAGCATAGAAATAAAATGTACAAAAACAACATAGGATAATGGGTTAAATGACTACCTTTGGTTTCGTACAATTCCACAAAACATTCAAGGTGGTGCCAGTTTAACCAATGACACAAACATACACATAACTGGAAGAGTTTGATTAACAATATGACTTTCTGCTTCATTTATGTGACATAACACGGAATTGCAGAGAAAAACAAATGCTACCAAAGTGAGAAAGACAAAAACAGTGACAAGTATTAGACAAGACAGTAAACAGAGACGAGACAAATTTGAACACACATTCATCTGACATTTTAGTGCAACAGAAAATACTGCTGAACTACTTTTTTGTCAGTCCCATATCAATTAGCCCGGTTATTTTAACATTGCAACATAAACCATTAAATACACAAACACGTGAAAACACGTTAATATGAACAAAATATAAAAACAGTATGAATTATTTTATTACGTTAAGGCACTCATACCTCAAGTGCAACATAACAAAATGTGTCTTACGCCAATCACAACTCATAACCAATCCCTCCACAATCAAGTTGCTTGTCCTTGCAACAAAGTTTTGGTAAAAGGGTCATAACCCATTGGGGAAGATATACAACACAGGTACCTGAGGTACTGGGTCGTGATCTGGAGGAAGACTTGAAAAAGAATGATCCAAAATGGCAGTAAGTTAGTCAGATGTAACTAAACATATGAATGATAAAACGTCTATCATTGATCTATAGATTCTCCATCAGTTTCCTCTTCAACAATCATCACATTGATACTGCGTGTACAGTAGGCTTGTTGACTCATTTAAGGTACAGAAAGCCAACAGTAGTGTAAAGCAGGAAGACTGTGAAAGAGAAATCTGTCGAGGATATCAGAAACGTTTAGAGGTGTAGGCCTATACATCACTTCAGCCTGCAACCCCATGATGGTGGGGGTAAAGACTATTACATGTCATTGCATTTCTCTTAAAAGGCAATTTCACCACTTTTCTCTAGCACAATTCCAGTGTCAACAGTGGCACATTTCTAAGTTTTGTAGAAATAAATATAAAGTTAAAGGTTTTATTTTATTTATTTTACCATGTAAGTTGACTGAGAACACATTCTTATTTACAGCAGCGACTTGGGGAATAGTTACAGGGGAGGGGAGGGGGGATGAATAAGCCAATTGGAAGGTGGGGATGATTAGGTGGCCATGATGGTATGAGGGTCAGACTGGGAATTTAGCCAGGACACAGGGATTAACACCCCTACTCTTAAAATAAGTGCCATGGGATCTTTAGTGACCACAGAGAGTCAGGACACACGTTTAATGTCCCATCTGAAAGTTCTACCCGATGGCATCATCAAAAGTTAAAACATTTTAAAAACAGTGATTTTCAAACACTATGAGATTTGCGGTGACGTGGGGAGCAAGAAAATACCCTCCCTTGGGCTTGAAACTCGTTGCAGGTTTTGAAAATCACCACTTTTTCCTTTAATCTTACACTGTGATGTCACAGAGATTTTTTAAAAATCTTTTTAACCACAGCTCATTGAAACGTGCCGTTTTCACATTTGTAGACTGGTTTGGTGCTGAAGATGATGAATATGAGGTTGAAAAAGTCCCTTTAAATTCAAATAACCAGGAACAATATCTTATTTTTTGTAAAGCTGACTATTATAAACTAAACAAAAATATAAACACAACATGTAAAGTGTTGCTCCCATGTTTCATAAGCGGAAATAAAAGACCGCAGAAATTTTCCATACGCGCAAAGCTTATTTCTCGCAATTTGGTGCGCAAATTTGTGTACATCCCTGTTAGTGAGCATTTCTCCTTCAACAAGACAATCCATCCACCTGACAGGTGTAGGATATCAAGAAGCTGATTAAACAGCATGATCATTACACAGGTGCACCTTGTGCTGGGGACAATAAAATGTGCAGATGTCACAACACAATGCCACAGATGTCTCAAGTTTTGAGGGAGCATGCAATTGGCATGCTGACAGCAGGAATATCCACCAGAGCTATTGCCAGAAAATTGAATCCTCATTTCTCTACCATAAGCCGCCTCTAACGTCATTTCAGAGAATTTGGCAGTACGTCCAACTGGCCTCACAACCGCAGACCACGTTTAACCATGCCAGCCCAGGACCTCCACATCTGGCTCCTTAAACTGCGGAATCGTCTGAGACCAGCCACCCGGACAGCTGATGAAACTGTGGGTTTGCACAACCAAATAACTTTATTTCTGCACAAACTATCAGAAACTGTCTCAGGGAAGCTCATCTGCGTGCACTTCATCCTCACCAGGGTCTCAACCTGACTGCAGCTTGGCGTTGTAACCGACTTCAGTGGGAAAATGCTAATCTTTGATGGCCACCGGCACGCTGGAGATGTGTGCTCTTCACAGATTAATGCCGGTCTCAACTGTACTGGGAGGATGGCAGACAGCGTATTTGGTGTCGTGTGGGTGAGCGGTTTGCTGATGTCAACGTTGTGAACAGTGTCCCATGGTGGCGGTGGGGTTATGGTATGGGCAGGCATAAGCTACGGACAACGAACACAATTGCATTTTATCGATGGCAATTTCAATGCACAGCAGTGGAGGCTGGTGGGAGGAGCTATAGGAGGATGGGCTCATTGTAATAGCTGGAATGGAATAAATAGAACAGAGTCAAACATGGTTTCCATTTATTTGATGTGTTTGATACCGTTCCATTTATTCCATTCCAGCCATTACAATGAGCCCGTCCTCCTCCCACCAGCCTCCACTGATACACAAAGATACAGTGCCGAGATCCTGAGGCCCATTGTCGTGCCATTCAGCTGCTGCAATCACCTCATGTTTCAGCATGATAATACACAGCCTCATGTCGCAAGGATCTGTACACAATTCCTAGAAGCTGAAAATGTCCCAGTTCTTCCATGGCCTGCATACTCACCAGACATCTCACCAATGGAGCATGTTTGGGATGCTCTGGATCGATGTATACGATAGCGTGTTCCAGTTCCTGCCAATATGCAGCAACTTCGCACAGCCATTGAAGAGTGGGACAACATTCCACAGGCCACAATCAACAGCCTGATCATCTACGCGAAGGAGCTGTGTCGTGCTGCATGAGGCAAACGGTGGTCACACCAGATACTGACTGGTTTTCTGATCCACGACCCTACTGTATTCCCAGTCATGTGAAATCCATAGATTAGGGCCTAATGAATTTACTTCAATTGACTGATTTCCTCATATGAACTGTAACTCAGTAAAATCTTTGAAATTGTTGCATTTATATTTTTGTTCAGTGTAATTTAATGAAATGCACTGCTCTACCAAATGCAACCGAACACCTTCATACATGGCTAGAGTTACATTGTGTATCACCAACAATTTGACAATTTGGATATGTTGTATATGAATCGTGTCTACATCACAGCTGACCCTTTTGAAAACAGAGGAATGACATTTGATATGCATCCTTGATGCTAAACAAGGAAAAGTCCATACATGTGACAATACGTGCCATCACTAAACCACACATGCTCAGAAACACCAAAAGCGTCCATAGTTAGTCCACTCACTCATATATCACAGAGCCAGTCAGAAGCTGGTCTCATTCATGGGGGGTTTAGGACTGGTGGGGGGCACAGGGAAGGAGCTCTCTGGAGTGGCTGCTGCAGCCTCCGGGGGCGGGGCTTCTGTAGTAGGGGAGGTGCCAGCTCGACGAGGCGACACAGGGGTCTGGGAGCGGGTTGGACTTACGATTGTAGCAGGGGCAGGGCTGGGTGAGGTGGGCTGTGGCCGGCGCAGTGATGAAGATGAGGCGTGAGAGGCTGTAGGGGGGCTGGAGAAAGAGGCGGGGGTCCGTAGGCCCAGTCTAGCCTCCAACTCTGAGCATACGGCCAGGCTGCGCCGCGTGCCCCCCTCAGCCCCTCCTGCAGAGTCCGAGACCTTGGCAAGCTCCTGACAACGCTCCACGAAGCTGCCCCTTCGCAGAGACCCCATGCCACCATCCCGGTCTTTGTCCTGGAGGACGGTGCGGCCGGGCCGGGGGCTGCCACTGCTGCTGAGGGAGGCCTGGCTCAGACCTAGGTGGTGGGGCTGGAGGCCCAACCCCGCCATGGAGAGAGCCATGTCCCGGGGCTTGGTGAGGGGCACCGGAGGGGCCTGGCGGGGCAGGCTACCAGAGAAGGGACACGAGCTGCTCACACCTCCTCTGGCCCCACGCTCCCTGGAGCTCTCACTCAGCTGGGACTGCAAACTGCAGAGACAAGATAAACAGAGAGAATATGATCAGGGCCTAAAATGTACTTTTGGTTCCACCAGCCACTGTGGCAGGTAGATGAAAAAAATCAACCAGCCACTTAGATTGTTTACCAGCCAAAATAATTTTTCTCCATAATTACATTTAAAAACAGATGATCATGCTTTGTAATGTTTTAAAACAAGAAATGTATTAGTAAGAAGTAATGTGGTATATTGCTCAATTTCATTTCATTTTTCTTTTAACCAAAATATCAGATGAGACAAAATGTTCAGCTGCCCCTTTAAGGGCGGAAGGTTACCGTGGTAACGGGGCTAATCGAGTCATGTCCTGAGTGTGTAAAATTTGGGATGTTAGTAGACAACGTCGCTTCTCTATCAGTTGAAGCAGCAGATTCAAACTAACATTGAAAAACAACCAAGCTTGTGAACAAAACAATGTAAATAGCCAAGAAACACGAGGACAACGTCTCACTTTGAGTAAATTAGACCAAGTTTTATGCCAGCGCCTCCAAAAATGAATCTATCAGCGCTTCACATACAAAAAAATGAATCTATCAGCGCTTCACATACAGTGCGCGAAGCTGTTGTTGCGCGAGGTGGGATGTAGGATTCTTATTTCTTTGTGCGATTAGCAGCGATGAAAGGGCAGCTCAGAACAGATGAAGATGGATTTTAAATTACTGATTGGTCTCTACTTGACACCAACAAACGCCCCATAATATCTGGCCCTCTGCCCTCCCTAATTCGTGGCATTGAACGGTTCAGCAGACGTTTAGCCCTCCATAACTGGCTACGCGACTATTGCAGCTCTGTGGGTGTAATATTTATTGACAATTTTGATACCTTCTGGAAACAAAGCTCGGATTATAAAGAGGATGGGATCCTCCCAAATCATTTGGGTTATTGGATCCTTTCACAGCATTATAAGGCTGCGTTGAGACAATGACTTATCAATGACCCAAGTCCAGCTCATTTAATCCCTACCATTGTGTTGCTGAGTCGTCATATTGATTCAGCAAATGTACATTATCCTAGGGGCGTTGGAAGACACAATGTAAATAACCTAATTTATGTCCCTCTTACTGCCCGGAATGCCTCTGCTGATCCTACAGCTATTGTACAGTCGTGGTCAAATGTTTTGTGAATTAATTTTCACAAAGTCTGCTGCCTCATTTTTTATGATGGCAATTTGCATATACTCCAGAATGTTATGAAGAGTGATCAGATGAATTGCAAAGTCCCTCTTTGCCATGAAAATGAACTTAATCCCCCAAAAACATTTCCACTGCATTTCAGCCCTGCCACAAAAGGACCAGCTGACATTATGTCAGTGATTCTCTCGTTAACACAGGTGAGAGTGTTGACGGGGACAAGGCTGGAGATCACTCTGTTATGCTGATTGAGTTAGAATAACAGACTGGAAGCTTTAAAAGGAGGGTGGTGCTTGAAATCATTGTTCTTCCTCTGTTAACCATGGTTACCTGCAAGGAAACACGTGCCGTCATCATTGCTTTGCACAAAAAGGGCTTCACAGGCATGGATATTGCTGCTAGTAAGATTGCACCTAAATCAACCATTTATCGGATCATCAAGAACTTCAAGGAGAGAGGTTCAATTGTTGTGCAGAAGGCTTAGGGCGCCCAAGAAAGTCCAGCAAGCGCCAGGACCGTCTCCTAAAGTTTATTCAGCTGCGGGATCGGGGCACCACCAGTGCAGAGCTTGCTCAGGAATGGCAGCAGGCAGGTGTGAGTGCATCTGCACGCACAGTGAGGCGAATACTTTTGGAGGATGACCTGGTGTCAAGAAGGGCAGCAAGGAAGCCACTTCTCTTCAGGAAAAACATCAGGGACAGACTGATATTCTGCAAAAGGTACAGGGATTGGACTGCTGAGGACTGGGGTAGTCATTTTCTCTGATGAATTCCCTTTCCGATTGTTTGGGGCATCCGGAAAAAAGCTTGTCCGGAGAAGACAAGGTGAGCACCACCATCAGTCCTGTGTCATGCCAACAGTATAGCATCCTGAGACCATTCATGTGTGGGATTGCTTCTCAGCCAAGGGAGTGGGCTCACTCACAATTTTGCCTAAGAACACAGCCATGAATAAAGAATGGTACCAACACATCCTCCGAGAGCAACTTCTCCCAACCATCCAAGAACAGTTTGGTGACGAACAATGCCTTTTCCAGCATGATGGAGCACCTTGCCATAATGCAAAAGTGATAATTAAGTGGCTCGGGGAACAAAACATCTACATTTTGGGTCCATGGCCAGGAAACTCCCCAGACCTTAATCCCATTGAGAACTTGTGGTCGATCCTCAAGAGGCGGGTGGACAAACAAAAACCCACAAATTCTGACAAACTCCAAGCATTGATTATGCAAGAATGGGCTGCCATCAGTCAGGATGTGGCCCAGAAGTTAATTGACAGCATGCCAGGGCCGGATTGCAGAGGTCTTCAAAAAGAATGGTCAACACTGCAAATATTGACTCTTTGCATAAACTTAATGTAATGGTCAATAAAAGCCTTTGACACTTATGGAATGCTTGTAATTATACTTCAGTATACCATAGTAACATCTGACAAAAATATCTAAAAACACTGAAGCAGCAAACTTTGTGAAGACCAATACTTGTGTCATTCTCAAAACTTTTGACCACGACTGTATGCAGTAATCACATGCCTATGAACCAGAGTAATACTGTTAGCACTGAGGTGGTGTGCCATAGTAGGAAGTCCACAGTGTGCAGCTCACCCTGCACTAATAAAAATAAACCGAGTATGTCTACCTCTGCTAAGCTTCCCAGTAAAGCAAGAAAAATAATGAAGCATCCCAGAAAAGTGTTAAAAATAGCCCACGTTAACATATGTAGCTTAAGAAACAAGGTTCATGAAATCAATAATGTGCTAGTAACACATTACATTCATATTCTGACAATCTCTGAAACTCACTTAGATAATACCTTTGATGATACAGTGGTAGCAATACAAAGTTATAACATTTACAGAAAATACAGAAATGCCAACGGAGGCGGTGTTGCAGTCTATATTCAGAACCACATTCCTGTAAAAGCTTAGAGAGGATCTCATGTTAGATACTGTTGAAGTAATATGACTACAGGTTCACCTGCCTCACCTAAAGCCCATTCTGGTGGGAAGCTGCTATAGACCACCAAGTGCTAACAGTCAGTATCTGGATAACGTGTGAAATGCTTGATAATATACAGTGGGGAGAACAAGTATTTGATACATTGGCGATTTTGCAGGTTTTCCTACTTACAAAGCATGTAGAGGTCTGTAAAAAAAAAAAAAAAAAAATCCAGAAAATCACATTGTATGATTTTTAAGTAATTAATTTGCATTTTATTGCATGACATAAGTATTTGATACATCAGAAAAGCAGAACTTAATATTTGGTACAGAAACTTTGTTTGCAATTACAGAGATCATACGTTTCCTGTAGGTCTTGACCAGGTTTGCACACACTGCAGCAGGGATTTTGGCCCACTCCTCCATACAGACCTTCTCCAGATCCTTCAGGTTTCGGGGCTGTCACTGGGCAATACAGACTTTCAGCTCCCTCCAAAGATTTTCTATTGGGTTCAGGTCTGGAGACTGGCTAGGCCACTCCAGGACCTTGAGATGCTTCTTACGGAGCCACTCCTTAGTTGCTCTGGCTGTGTGTTTCGGGTCGTTGTCATGCTGGAAGACCCAGCCACAACCCATCTTCAATGCTCTTACTGAGGGAAGGAGGTTGTTGGCCAAGATCTCGCGATACATGGCCCCATCCATCCTCCCCTCAATAAGGTGCAGTCATCCTGTCCCCTTTGCAGAAAAGCATCCCCAAAGAATGGTGTTTCCACCTCCATGCTTCACGGTTGGGATGGTGTTCTTGGGATTGTACTCATCCTTCTTCTTCCTCCAAACACAGCGAGTGGAGTTTAGACCAAAAAGCTCTATTTTTGTCTCATCAGACCACATGACCTTCTCCCATTCCTCCTCTGGATCATCCAGATGGTCATTGGCAAACTTCAGACGGGCCTGGACATGCACTGGCTTGAGCAGGGGGACCTTGCGTGCGCTGCAGGATTTTAATCCATGACGGCGTAGTGTGTTACTAATGGTTTTCTTTGAGACTGTGGTCCCAGCTCTCTTCAGGTCATTGACCAGGTCCTGCCGTGTAGTTCTGGGCTGATCCCTCACCTTCCTCATGATCATTGATGCCCCACGAGGTGAGATCTTGCATGGAGCCCCAGACCGAGGTTGATTGACCGTCATCTTGAACTTCTTCCATTTTCTAATAATTGCGCCAACAGTTGTTGCCTTCTCACCAAGCTGCTTGCCTATTGTCCTGTAGCCCATCCCAGCCTTGTGCAGGTCTACAATTCTATCCCTGATGTCCTTACACAGCTCTCTGGTCTTGGCAATTTTGGAGAGGTTGGAGTCTGTTTGATTGAGTGTGTGGACAGGTGTCTTTTATACAGGTAACGAGTTCAAACAGGTGCAGTTAATACAGGTAATGAGTGGAGAACAGGAGGGCTTCTCAAAGAAAAACTAACAGGTCTGTGAGAGCCGGAATTCTTACTGGTTGGTAGGTGATCAAATACTTATGTCATGCAATAAAATGCAAATTAATTACTTACAAATCATACAATGTGATTTTCTGGATTTTTGTTTTAGATTCCGTCTCTCACAGTTGAAGTGTACCTATACATGCTTTGTAAGTAGGCAAACCTGCAAAATCGGCAGTGTATCAAATACTTGTTCTCCCCACTGTATGTGATATCAATAGAGAGGTATACTTTCTGGGTGATTTAAATATTGACTGGCTTTCATCAGGCTGCCCACTCAAGAGAAAGCTTCAAACTGTAACTAGTGCCTGCAACCTGGTTCAGGTTATCAATCAAACTACCAGGGTAGTTACAAACAGTACAGGAATGAAATCATCAACATGTATTGATCATATATTTACTAATGCTGCAGAAAGCAGTATCCAAAGTTCTAAAGGCTGGGCCTAATATTGTGTATAAGAGGTCAAGAAGTTTTGTTGTGATTCCTATGTTGTTGATGTGAAGAATATTTGTTGGTCTGTGGTGTGTAATGACGAGCAACCAGACGCTGCACTTGACACATTTATGAAATTGCTTATCCCAGTTACTAATAAGCATGCATCCATTAAGAAATGACTGTAAAAACGGTTAAATCCCCATGGATTGATGAGGAATTGAACAATTGTATGGTTGAGAGGGATGAGGCAAAAGAGATGGAAAATAGGTCTGGCTGCACAACCGATTGGCAAACGTACTGCAAATTGAGAAATCATGTGACTAAACTGAATAAAAAGAAGACGAAACTACACTATGGAACAAAGATAAATTACATTAAGAATGATAGTAAAAAGCTTTGGAGCACCTTAAATGAACTTTTGGGCAAAAAGGCCAACTCCTCTCCATCATTCATTGAATCAGATGGCTCATTCATCACAAAACCCACTGATATTGCAAACTACTTTAATAATTTTTTCATTGGCAAGATTACCAAACTTAGGCATGACATGCCAGCAACAAATGCTGACACTACATGTCCAAGTATACAGTGAGGGAAAAAAGTATTTGATCCCCTGCTGATTTTGTACGTTTGCCCACTTTCAAAGAAATGATCAGTCTATAATTTTAATCGTAGGTTTATTTGAACAGTGAGAGACAGAATAACAACTAAAAAATCCAGAAAAATGCATGTTTCCCTCATTAAAATGCAAATCAATTTATAACATTTTTGACATGTGTCTTTCTGGATTTTTGTTTCGTTATTCTGTCTCTCACTGTTCAAATAAACCTACCATTAAAATTATAGACTGATCATGTCTTTGTCAGTGGGCAAACGTACAAAATCAGCAGGGGATCAAATACTTTTTTCCCCTCACTGTATCTGCCCAAATTATGAAAGACAAGCATTGTAATTTTGAATTCCGTAAAGTAAGTGTGGAAGAGGTGAAAAAAGTATTATGGTCGACCAACAATGACAAGCCACCGGGGTCTGACAACTTGGATGGAAAATGACTGAGGATAATAGCGGACGATATTGCCACTCCTATTTGCCATATCTTCCAATTTAAGCCTACTAGAAAGTGTGTGCCCTCAGGCCTGGAGGGAAGCAAAAGTTATTCCCCTACCTAAGAATAGTAAAGCCCCCTTAACTGGTTCAAATAGCTGACCAATCAGCCGGTTACCAACCCCGAGTAAACTTTTGGAAAAAATTGTGATTGACCAGATAAAATGCTATTTTACAGTAAACAAATTGACAGACTTTCAGCACACTTATAGGGAAGGGCATTCAAAAAGCACAGCACTTACACAAATGACTGATGATTGGCTGAGAGAAATTGATGATAAAAAGATTGTGGGGGCTGTTTTACATTTTACATTTACATTTTAGTAATTTAGCAGACGCTCTTATCCAGAGCGACTTACAGTTAGTGAGTGCATACATTATTATTGTTATTATTATTTATTTTTTCATACTGGCCCCCCGTGGGAAACGAACCCACAACCCTGGCATTGCAAACGCCATGCTCTACCAACTGAGCTACATCAGTGCGGCTTTTGACATTATCGATCATAGTCTGTTGCTGGAAAAACGTATGTGTTATTGCTTTACACCCTTTGCTATATTGTGGATAAAGAGTTACCTGTCTAACAGAACACAGAGGATCTTCTTTAATGGAAGCCTCTCGAACAAACTCCAGGTAGAATCAGGAATTCCCCAGGGCAGCTGTATAGGCCCCTTACTTTTGTCAATCTTTACTAACGACATGCCACTGGCTTTGAGTAAAGCCAGTGTGTCTATGTATGCGGATGACTCAACACTATACACGTCAGCTACCACAGCGACTGAAATTACAGCAACACTTATAGAGCTGCAGTTAGTTTCAGAATGTGTGGCAAGGAATAAGTTAGTCCTAAATATTTCAAAAACTAAAAGCATTGTATTTGGGACAAATCATTCACTAAACCTCAACTAAATCTTGTAATGAATAATGTGGAAATTTAACAAGTTGAGGAGACTAAATTGCTTGGAGTAACCCTGGATTGTAAACTGTCATGGTCAAAACATATTGATACAACAGTAGCTAGGATGAGGAGAAGTCTGTCTATAATAAAGCGCTGCTCTGCATTCTTTACAGCACTATCAACAAGGCAGGTCCTACAGGCCCTAGTTTTGTCTCACCTGGACTACTGTTCAGTCGTGTGGTCAGGTGCCACAAAGAGGGACTTAGGAAAATTGCAATTGGCTCAGAACAGGGCAGCACGGCTGGCCCTTGGACATTAATAATATGCACGTTAATCTCTCCTGGCTCAAAGTGAAGGAGAAATTGACTTCATCACTACTTGTATTTGTGAGAGGTATTGACATGTTGAATATACCGAGCTGTCTGTTTGAACTACTGGCACACAGCTCGGACACCCATCCTTACCCCACAAGACATGCCACCAGAGGTCTCTTCACAGTCCCCAAGTCAAGAACAGACTATGGGTGGCGCACAGTACTACATAGAGCCATGACAACATGGAACTCTATTCCACATCAAGTAACTCATGCCAGCAGTAAAATTAGATTTAAAAAACAGATAAAAATACACCTTATGGAACAGCAGGGACTGTGAAGCAGCACAAACATAGACATATGCATACAAACCCACGATAACATACGCACATGTACACATGGATTTTGTGTTTTAGATATGTGGTAGTAGAGTAGAGGCCTGAGGGCAAACACTTAATATGTTGTGAAATCTGTTATGAATGTTTTGTAATGTTTAAAAAAATGTATAAATGCCTTAATTTTGCTGGACCCCAGGAAGAGTAGCTGCTGCCTTGGCAGGAACTAATATGGATCCATAATAAATACAAATACAAACAAAACAGCAGAAATACTGTACTTTGAAAACAGCTACTTTTTCTGCTAGAAATCGCAACTCGCACATTTGCTCATACTTTACTTTTGACTATTTGTATTCACAAATGTGAATGTAATGCTCACACTGTAGAGCCCTGCCAATTGAACACCCCCCGGTGAAGTAGACATTCTTATCCTCCAATACCTAAATCTACCCGCATTTGGTGGGTGGCGGGTGTTAATTTTATGCCCTGAATATGATGTAATCTTGCAAAAAAGGATAGCATCAGTGGGTTAACAAATGCAGCTGTTTGGGACATGTAACGTGCCTGATTGCATGGGCAGTTGGCAATGGTGTGTGGTGTACCTGCAGGTGGAGGCTCGGGGGGTGGAGGAGTGGGTGAAGGAGGCAGCAGGACTCATGTCAGGGGTACGGGTTAGAGCCAGGTCACACTGGTCTAACAGCTCCAGGAGCTCCTCTTCTGTAGGGCCGCCCAGCGCTGAGGGACAACCAGACAGAGACAGTCAGAGACACAGCACAATGTCTATGACACATCACTTAATAAAACCAGTCAACACAAAAAGCCATGTGTTTAGAGTGTGGGTTGTCTTACCCCTGATGTCCACTTTCCCTGCGATCTCCATGGCGGTGGTCAGGTCCCACATCTGGATGCTACCGTTGGCGTGGCCACTGAAGAGGTAGCGGCGGGGGCGTGAGCCGATGCGGCTGGACCCCTCACACTCGTGGACCATGAAGGAGGTGATGGAGGTGCCGTCCACAGAGCGCACCTCACACACCCTCTTTCCATTGGACGAGAGGCGCACGTAGAGTTTGTCTGTGTCAGGGACGACCCTCTGGATAAATACCTGCTGGTCGTCTCTCTCTCCATACGGACCTATTAGAGAGGAACAACACTCAGTACGTACCATTACAGTCCTTTCTCATTGCACCTCTAAATGTTAACTTCAATTGAACATTTAAACCAGTGTCCACTTTTGACCCCTGACCTCTTTCTGCTCACCTATCTCAATGCCGGCAGCACAGCCCCCGTGGCCGTCGATGTCCTCCAGAGAGAGGATCTTGAAGGAGGTGAGGGGGGTGGAGCCTGGCTGGGTGGAGATCATGCCCCTGAAGCGAGTCACCGTCCAGGTCCGCACGTGGTTGTTGTCTGCACACACTGACGACACAAACAGGGTTAGCCCAAAAACATCTGCATGACGGGCCCATCTTCTGCACTGAACTTGGACGACCAATGTTTGCTGCTTTGTCAGCAACATCGATGTTTAACGTAATGCTATGTCAGCTAACAGCGGAAAAGACAAAACAATCAATCCTAATGAGAAATGTAGCTAATAATATGCATAATATCCAACAGCTTGCAAGCAGAGACAGTAGAATACACAGCAAATGTACGATCAACCCTAGAACATGGAGGCTCCTGGCCAACCATTCTCACCTGATATGAGGTGTTTCTCAGAGAGCATGATCTTGGTGACGGGGCTGCGGTGGACTGAGAAGGTCTGGAAGAGCTGGGGCCCAGAGCCCACTGTCTCCGGGTGCTGCACTATGACCCGCACCGTGCCCGAGCTGGTCCCGTAGGCGATCTCGATCCAGTTGCCGCTGTCGCCTGACGACACATTGGGGACTTTTATCCCATACACCATTTTAGCCTCAATGCATGCTGTGTTATGTACCGTGCATATCAAGAAACGGAAGTGGATAGTCAGCCGGCAGACCCAAAGGTTAAGGTGAGGCATTAGGATCGAAATTGGTTTAAGTTAGTGTTCATGTTAGGGGAGTGAGGTTAGGGTAAAGGTCAAGAGTTAGCGAAACGCCACCAGGAACCATTCAAAATCTGCCAGCTACCTATAAAATTATACTGCCTATAAAATTACTATTGTTGACCATAAATGTTTTTCAGAAAATGATTGTTTTGCACCATGCATCTATTAAGATTGTATTTCGAATAACCATGATTGACTAATTGATACTTGCTAATCCTTAAAAACATGCAGAAAAAGCTATTAATTTCAGTGAAGGTCAAATTCGAAACAGGCAGACATACTTGTTTTGGGCGTGAGGTAGACACTGAGAGCAGTGATGGCGTCCTCTGTAGGGTCGCGGTACAACTCTGTCACTAGGAGGTCATTGTCCTTCATCCTCAATGGAAACTTCTGAACATCTGTTGACAAGATCACGTCAGTGAGAGGTCTATATTTTGCAAGTGTATTCATATACTTATACTGAATGATGTATTACAAAAACACGTTGTGACTGCATTTTTCTATACAGAAAAACTCATTTTAATAGTTTTCCTTTACTGCATCATAGTTAGAAAATATGACTTCCCTTACCTATATAATATATGGACCCATTGTTACAGCCTAGAATGAGGAAAGAACCAGCAGTATCATAGCTATTAATGGGAACCACATCTTGATTCTGAGAAGAGAAAGAGAAATGGAAAACATGAAAAACTGATGTACAATACACATATAATGACTTACAGTCACGTGTGCATACATTTTACATATGGGTGGCCCCGGGAATCGAACCCACAATCCTGGCCATACAGGACCACATATATTATTACTACACATAATATGATTATATGTTCTATTGACATGACATTCTTATAGAATGTACGGACACAACTTTACCTGCCAATGTTTGGTCACTGCATTCCATACTCCCACTTTCCCTGTGTGGCTGGTGGCAATAAGCTGGTTCCCCACAAAGAAGAGAGCCTCCACAGGGACATTCAGACTGAACACCCCTGGAGGGAAGCATGTACAATGGAGACCTATTAGCACGGCCCTTACATAAGCACCCAGAACTATCTATAAAGTGGTCTCTTAAAATACTAATGACAAGTCAACAAACATTTTGAGTGATAAAAACTATATCATGCTTTCCTTTTAGAGTTGTGCGTTCATTCCGTTTGCAAACTGACCTATCTCGTTGCCGTTGCCGTCGGGACAGATAGTCCAGAGGATGATCTCTGTGCCCGACGCCACGGCCACCATCTTGTCGTTGTCTCCCAGGGAGCCGCCCATCACCTTGGCGTTGAGCGCCACCCTGTCAATCACCCAGTCCAGACGGGGACTGGTGAACACCTGCTGCCAGCCCGTAGACTCCTTCACTCTGATGGAAGAGGACAGCACAGTTAATACCCTCTATGGTCCTTGATAACACACCAAATGACTGATTCATATGGCACTGTGACACCATGCATGGAAGTCCTGTGCCCTTACCTGTAGCAAACAACAAATTGGGCATAAGCCACAGCGATCCAGTTGTGGTGGCCACAGATGATGCGGACCATGCCTGGGTCTGCAACCTGAGCTGTGTAGGAAGGGAAAGAGGAACAGGTGTTAGTGAAAGTGAACAATCCTGTTGATAATATTCCCTTAACAAAGAATGGGTCCAGGTTAGAGCTTTTACTTTCAATACAGTGCAACCAGACAAGACATATTCATAGGAATAATGAAGCTAAATACAATGTAAAAACACTGACCCGAAAGATCGTCAAGGACTCGAGTCACCCAAGCCACGGACGGTTCACTCTAACCCTAGCTGTCTCCCTGCACAGACCTGCACTTTGAGACTATTTGCACCTTGAGAATATCTGCACCTAAGGGACTGTTTGCACTGACTCCCCACACATCCAACCCCTTACACATAAACTTACACACACACACCTGCACGGGTCAGTTTTTTGGAGCCACAATCGGCTGTTAGGCCATTCCCCTTCCCTGCAGGAATGAATTTGTCTGCATCTATATTCACCATTTTAGATAAAAGGAAACCATGCCATGAATTAAGAACGATAGGCCTCTCTTCTTATTTTCACAAAGCAACACTGACAACTCAAATTGCTATGAAAAACAGCCTTCTAATTACCTAATGAAAGCCTATAGCAGACATAACAAAATACAGTTACATTTAATATTGTTTACATAACCAAATAGTTTAATTAAACTTAAATAAACAATTCCCAGAATCTAATAGGCTATAGGCTGCAATAGCCTGTATTCATTCAGTAGGCTATTGGCTCCTCAAACTTTTAACAGCCGCACAGGTTTAAACTTATATGGCCTGCATATGGTCTAAATGAACAATAGCCTGAATTAATGTAGCCTAATAATTAGGCTCCTCCGTTCCAAAAATACTGAATTTTAGGAGTAGATTCCTAGAGGAAGATGTGTTTTCTTTCTACTAAATGGTTTGGTAAGTCACGGTATTTAACAAACTTTAAAGTAATTTTTTAAGAGAGAGTGGTGTGCGCAGGCAGCAAGGCTGGGAGCAAACAGCTCGAGATTATTTGATTGACAGTTCTGGTCGCCGAGTGATGGACGTTAGTCCGGCTTCAGATGCGGCATTCCTTTACAGACAAGTAAAATGCCCGTTCAGCGGCGCTTCAAAACTGTCTCCAGAGAAGGTTTCGTGTCGGCATTTAAAAAGCCGTAGTGTACCCAGACAAACAAACATGCCGTAGCCGAGGCTCTTTCAAGGGTATATGACTACGGTAGATATAACTTCATTGCCCAGCCCTTGCGGTCATACATTCGTAATAGGACCATTATTCTGCATTGTAAATTGACGTGGAATTTTATTAATTTTTTATTTTAACCGAAAAAACAATCAAACAAATTGCAGTTTAAACATTAAGCGATATTTCCCATTTGTCACATGCATACTACCTCTACTATTACTTGTTATTTTTTACTTGACTTTTTATTGTTATTATTGATAATGATTGTACTGCACTGTTGAGGGAACTACAGCATTAGCATTTTGTTGCATCTTTTCAATGAAATTGTATTAGTCACATACACATATTTAGCAGATGTTATTGCAGGTGTAGCGAAACGCTTGTAAAATGTGTATGTGTATGTAAAATGTGTATGTGTATGTTAAATGTGTATGTGATTCCGAGGCCTTACCACCACTTATCCTCTCCTCCATCATTGCTTTACCCAGTATGCCCGCGTTGCCCAGGTTGGGTGGCATGGTGTTGCTGCGTCTCACTGGAGCTCTCTCCATGGGCAAGGCACGGCTACCCATATACTGAGGCCCCGCCACACTATGACGGTTCCTCCGCTTCGCTGGGTACACTGGTCAACAGGAGGAGACGATCAGGACATCAAACTTAACACACACCTTGCCTGTCCTTGAAGTGAATTCAAATCTAGAATAGATCAGCCTACCTGGAGGTGGGAGATAACCATTGAAGAGCACGTTTCCACAGGAGGATCGGTCCAGCTCATCACAAAGCTGCAGCTTACGCACTGAGGAAGATAAAAAAGTAACCAAGGTGCAGACACTAATACATACAAAGAAAGACAGCCTCTCATTCTCTGCTGTATTTGACTAGCTACTGGCTACTTTCTTACCCAACGGAGTGATTCCATAGAACTCAGCTTCATGCATGAGCAGGTGGACATTTATGGACCTAAAAAGAAAGGTTAAGAAATCAAATTTGGAAGACAACTTGCCATCAAGGCTGAATATATATATATATATATATTACTTATTAAATGTAAACAAATGTAAAGAAAGGAATTAGCACCTGGGAAACAACTCTTTGGTACGCAGGAAGTTCAGTATAGGAGTAAAGAGAGATGGGTCCCGATCTATGAAGATCTGTGGGAGAACAAGATCAGCAGCACATTACAAATGTGTTATAATTAGGCCTAAGTGGATGCCAATATCAAATAGGTTTATATACACATAGCCTAGGTTTTTCCATCGATTTCAGGCAACTTACCGCTCCAGTTTCATCCTTCAAGGTTGAGATCCTCCCACTTAGAAGACTGGCAGAGACAACACAACTCACTAGTTAGACCTTACTGAGTGATGATACAGCTAATTACCATATGCCATCACTATGGCCGGGTTAATGAATGAGTTGGAGTGAGTCATTATGAAGACACTTGTGACTTTAATAAAGGCATTGGCCTATGTCTCAAAATAAATAGATAGCTACCTACCTTGAGAAAAAGGAGTCTGGGACCCATGTCAATGTCTGTCTGGAGGTGCTGAACCTGAAACAACATGATCACTCAAATGAGCATACACATTGCCTCAAGTTTGATCAAGTTCAAAACCATTAAGAAGCTAGCAAGCTAATATTACCTTAGCTAGCTAGCTTTGCACGTTCCAGCTACACTGTAACGTCAGTAGCTAACGTTACTGTCAGAGAAAGATAGTTTAGCTGGAAAAATATCTAACTATCAGTAGTTAGTTTGCTAACTTAGGACAATGTTACTAACGGTATTTTCTTACTCAAAATATCTGGCTATCTAGTTAGCCAGCCAACAACTGTTAGATAGTTAGTTAGCATCCACCCACCAACAATAGCTAGCTGCCGGTAGCTAGCTATTCATAGTAATCCCAGTCCTCACCTTTTTCCTCCAACGTTTAGATGGATAATGTCTCCGGTCCTTGCCATATTTTAAACTGTGGGAATCTTCATGCTT